TATCTATCCTCTGTTCCCCACCTAGGTTCTGTAATGGGCTTAGATCAGCCAGGCAAACCCCAAACCTGAAATACATGCATGTGTAGCAGGAACAAGTAATTGCAAAGGTGCTTTTGGGTGAAAGGGAAAGAGGAAAAGAGCAGGTGAATGTCTATGGGAGCAACTGAGACCCAAGGCAAGGGAAAGACTTTTCTTACTAAGGTGGGTGTCATGGCTTCCAAGCTTCATTATTTCGCTTTGGTTGTGTCTCAGGGATGCCCCCTTGTGCTATTTTTGGATCATTTCCAAAGCTTATTACTCTTGGAGGCTGTGGGCCAACAGGGGAGCAGGAGGCACATGGGTTAGGGCTCGCCCTGGCTTTCTACACAGGCACTCCGGTCTGCATGATGTAGGGACTATAGGCTGGCCCTGGGATGGGTCACAAAGTGACAAATGGCACCAAACCAGACACCCTGTCACCAGCTTTCTGGGGGAGAGACTCACAGCTCCCCAGTCAGGGCCCCCTTGTACCCAGGTCACCTTTCCTAGGTGTGGGGTGAGTGTCCCCTCTCCAAGGCCCTTGTGTTCTGTAGTCTTGAAATGGGGCCAACAGGAAGATTCTTACCTCCCTGTCAGCTCTGCAGGGAGACATCCAGGATGAAGCCTGCTACCCACCTTCCCCAAGAAGACCTCATCCTTACTTCTCTGTGTGACTCTGCACAATACTCCACCTGTCAACTGAACTGCTTCTCCCCAGGGTGCCACATTTGCCCTCCCACCCTGTATACACACTGTGAATGTCCTTCTTACCTTTCCTCCACCACGCTCTCCACACCCACTGTCTGGCAGGGACAGATCTCAGCACTTCCATTCTGGCACAAGACCTTCCAGGTCCATTCTGTTGAACAGAGAAGAGGTGATGAAAGGCTTTGGCATGAGCGTCTTCATTGTCTTTCCTCAGGGCCACCCTCTTTGCCTCCCATTATCTACAAAGAAAAACTGTCCCTGTGGGATCATCGGGCAGTGAGGTCGGGGGCAGACTCCCGCCTGGGCAGCACCTTCACTCTCCCTCTGCATCCCACTATGGATCCCAGTAGCCATTGCTACCCAGGGTCCTACTAGGGTTCCTTGCCATGAAGCAGGGAACAAGGAGACTTAGTACCAGCTTTGCTCACCACAGGATCTGCACATTCACACTGGGTGTGAACTGTCACAGCAGAAGGAACTTTTAATGCCAGGATTCTGTTTGTTTTCTGCCCCATTTGTATGCTTTGCTGTGAGAAGTGCATACATTTCTTTTGAACTACAAAAAGGGAAAAATATCACATTGATCATCAATAAATCTAGGCAGCACGACACTCACTTTGCCTGGAATTGAGCTCTTCATACCACACTGTAAAGGACAGTTATGCCACATGATTTCTACGAGCGCATGCCAAAGAATCCCAGGATGGGCCTCCCAACTCAGGAAATAGCAGTGTTCCTTCCAGGTGGTGGGGACTTGGTTTTGTGTAGTTTTGCTTTCTCTATTTTAAATTAGGAAGCTAACTAATAAATGGTTAACTGTGTTTGCCGGAAAATATTCAAGTGTAAGGCAACAGTTTCCAAATTCCCTGCAGAGCCTGGACACAAGGGAACATTGGCAGCCAAGCCTGTTATTAAGAAGGTCACAAGATGCCATCTGTTACTTCGTGCACTTTCTGTTCAAGCATAACATCCACTAGGAGGTGGCTGCAGTGGATTTTGCCTGTGAACTTAAACAATGGCTCTGTAGTGGGCACTGTGATGATTCGGTGGGTGCCGTGAACACGTCAGGTGACCTTCTGTGACAGGGCCCGGAGTTACATGGAGAAGAAGATAGGGAGAAGGTGCAGCATTGATTTTAGGTCTGTCTCTAATTATAGATCAAATGTAATTTGGGATGCTGCTGCCTGGTTTTCCTAAGTTTTTTCAAGGCCTGCTTGTAGTCATCTATAAAACATGATAATAACCTTCTTATAATTGTGAGGCTAAGGCACATAAATGAATACCTTATTCTTCTACTTACGACATAAAACAAACATTTAAATCCACAGAAAAGTTGAAAGAATATTGCAGTCAACACCACCTGTTTGCTCTTAGGTTCATCGACATTTTGCCACATTTATTAACAACTTGCTTTATCTCAATTTCTATGTACTGATACCTGTACGTGATTCTTGGCTGAGTTTTTGAGAATAAATTAAAGACATTATAACATCATACTTTCAAATATTTCAGCATGCGTCTCCCATCAGCAAAAATGTTTTTCTCACATAACTATAATGCTATTATTATTCTCAAGAAAAGACTATAGTAAAAAAAACCTGAAGGATAATTTTTATTTAATATACATACCATTGTATGCCTTACTGTTAGAAACCTGTCAAAAATCTGTCAGGAAAGAGATTTGCTCTGTAATCTATCCCAGTGGTTAACAAGCCTCTTTGTAAGACGGTGATATTATACTTTTGAGACACTTTGACAAAAACTGATGAAAGCTCTGGGCTCTCTATTCAAAAAAATATCCACAAGGACAGTTTTCCAAGCCAGCAATGCAAGCATCTCAGAACTTCAGGCTAAGAGCTGTTAATGTTTAATCTAAATTCTCCTTCTTTGTGTACATATAATTTTAAAAAGATGGAGAATGATTTGTCTTCATTTTCCAACATTATGTTTTATGTTCACGAACCTTCATTTCAAGGGACTCAAGTTTCAGGGAACTGAGAGATGGGAAGTTAAGAGACTGAATTAGCTCCAGTCTATTAAATGAAGACTGAATGGCAAAGGCTGACAGTTGCATTATGACAGACACCCAGTAGGTGGACTAAATGATTAGAACAGAAGACCTAGAGGAATCTTGCCACACTTGAGCTGATTCTGTAAGAGCAGAAGCTCACAAACCTACACTTGCCTTCTTGATAATTTACTTTTAAAAGACCACTTGGATTTCTCTTTTATTTTTAAATAAGTTTTATTTCATTTTATCCATCCCCCCCCACCACCACCAAAATTAAATTCTCATAATATTCCACCAGGGTTGGCATAACATTTAAGGACCAAATATCTAATGGTAGAATTTGTTGGCAATTATTAAAATGATTAGTTTCAGCAACACAATTTCCCAATTCTAGAGCTAAGAAGTGGAAGCAGGAAGGTAGATAGAGGCTGTTAAATTAGGGTCATATTAAGCATCCTTAATCCAAAGGGGGATGAAGCTGCTGAGGTCAAGTTGCACTGTGGGGTCTATTTTCTCAACTGTAACCTCCCAAAGAAAAATCATTAGTTAACTATATTCCAACCTGTGTGAACTTTCTGCTATCCCTGTGTATAAACAGATCTGAGAAAATCAGACACATTCCCAGGTCAGAACAAGTTTGCCTAAAAGATGGCCACAAATAATGTAAATGCCTTATGCAGTGGTCTAACACAAATTCTAATGTCTGGTTTTGGTTTTGGTTTTGGTTTTTCCTAGTACATCAAATGCCTCAATAACTTTCTATAAAGCTTTAATATCATATAGCCATATCATTTACTAATTAATGGTTAGCTAGTATAATTCTGAAAAGGAAAGGTGACATAATGCTAGCTAAATCTCTGGTGGCCCTGTGGGCATGATAAAAGTCTTACCGAACGCAGAAAGGCTAAAGAATTCACAGAGAATGGAACAATCAGCTGCTTTTGCAGGATCCACTTCTTATCCACTTCTTTTACCGTAGGAATTTAACTAAATATTTGTCAAGCTCTTTGACTTTGGCTTAAAAAAATTTATCAGCATAAATAACAATGAGTATTTGCCGAAGTCTATTCCTCTCCCTCCACTCTCTCTTAATAACCAGAGCCTATTGTATTATGCCAAGCAAGGCCCCCTATCAGCATGTATTGGGTCATTTTTAATAAAAATACACCAGAGAACTAAACATGATCAGCCATTAGGGCAATGCAAATTAAAAACACAATGAGATAGTGCTTCACATTTATTAGCATATCTATAATCATAAGGACAGATAATAAATGTTGGTGAAGATGTAAAGAAACTGGAACATTCTTTGCTGGTAGGAATATGAAATAGCACAATTACTTTGGAAAACAATTGGGCAGTGTCTTTAAAAGTCAAACACAAGTCTACCATAGGATCCAGCAATTCTACATCTAGGATTTTATCCAAAAGAAATGAAAACGTATGTACAAAGACTTGTGAGTGAGTGTAGACCGCAGCATTGTCCACAGTAGCCAAAATTGGAGATGACTTTGATCTCCATTAACTGATGAGGGGATAACAAATCTGGTATATTCATACAATAGAATACTACTCATTAATAAAATAAGAACAAAATATTCAAGCAGCTGCAAAATTGCTGAACCTAAAAAATATTGTGCTAACTACAAGAAGCCAGACATGAAAGACCATGTAATGTATGATTCCATTTATATGAAGAAGCTGATGAAGGCAAATCTATAAAGAGATTAGTCATCTTCTGGGAATAGTGGTAGAAAAGGGGGTTAACTATAAATGAGTATGAGGGATTTCATTGGGGTGATGAACATGCTTAAAGCTGGGTGATGGTGATGGTTGCATAACTTGGTAAGTTTACTGAAAACCATCAAACCGTACACTTAGGGTCAGTTAATTTAGGGTAAGTTATAACTCAGTAAGGTTGTTAAAAGAATATACCTGAACCTGGAAACTTAGAGAAAATTTACAGCCTTGGCATTTCAACATAGCCTCAGTTCCTCCTGATTTGAAGAATATAAGCTATGTGTCATAGAAGAATGTTCTGAACATTAAAATGTTTATTCCTACCCAAAACTCCACACAGATTAATTTTCAGTCATGGTTTTGTCTTACCTGATTGACTCTACTTTTCTGTTGGTCAATGCTAAAGGGGAACAAATGATGTGTGTACAATTTGTTGGTAATAGCCTAATTGGGAATGTAAGAAATTTTATTTGAACAGTGGATTCAGTTCTCATTTCTGGTCTTCCTTTGCACGCAGGCTGATTCCCTGATATAACCGGGTCCTTGAAAACTCCACTTGATGTCAAGCACAGAGTGGTAAGTCCAACGTTTCTCAGCGATCTTTTACACACGGAGAGCTTAAGTGATTGCATACCACATATTATTCATAAAAAGCAAACTAAAAAGGGTCAGGCTTTTAAGAAGTCCTTCATCAAACATTTGTTTCCCAGTGCTTATTATGTGTGTAACTTTTTATGAAGTGGTGGGGATACAAAGGTAAGCAAGACTACCAATTATAAACAGCTGATGAGGCTCACCAGCTTTTCACTGGCCCTATGCATGGCAAGAATGACATGCAGAATAGTGGCAGTTAGAGCCAAAACTGCACCTCTCTGATTATAAGCTTTCCAGTAATATAGAGGACAGAAGTAAAAATCATCTGAAATCTTTCTCCTCACCCCCAGAGACAAATCATATGTACAGTTTAGTGGATTCCCTTACAAATACCTCTACTTGTGCATAAAGATACGTGTACATATGTACACACTATGTTGATGAGGTCACACTGGACACTGACTTCTAAAATCTGCTTCTTATCACTCAACATCTTCATGGACACCTTTTATTGTTAACAAAGTTATCTGACATCATATTTAATGGATATATCAGATTCCACTAACTGTATATATCAGAATTTTAAAATATCCCTCCATCATCAGGTACTTAGGTTCTTCAAATTTATTATAAACAATGTTATGGTGATGACAATTTGAAAATGTATTTTTGCAATTGTGAATACATCTCTTTCAAGTGTGTTCCCATAAGTGGAATTCTTGGATCAGAAAGTATGCTTAACTTACATATGGCTAAAATGCCTCCAGAGAATTAGCCTCATGACCCAATAGTACGTGACAGTGCTTGTTTTCTTTTTTCTTTTTGGTTTATTTGTTGTTTTTTTGGACAGGGTCTCCTTAGGTATTTCAGGCTGGCCTTGAACTCACTATGTAGCCCAGGCTGGCCTGGAATTCACAGCAATCCTCCTGCCTCGGCCTCCTGAGTGCCAAGAGTGCTTGCTTTCTTAACACTTGCTTTGAAAAAGAATCATAATGTTTTTCAATTTGGTGGAGGATACTGTTTCAAGTCTCTACTTTCATTTTCTTTGATTATTGGTAAGACTGAGCACCTTCTCTTATGTTTATTTTTACATTTTTTCCTGAATTAGAGTTGCTTCTCATTATCTACGGTAGTTATATTTTGTGAAGTGAATACTGAATTCACCCATACTGACCCATTGGCCCTGGAGAAATACAAGGCCAGGTTTTCACAAGCCTCTAGTCACAACATTTTTGTCAAGTGATCAATATGGAATTTGTTTTTATGAATGCTTCTGTTTAGACACTTCATTAAGATGTTGTTAATTTATTAACAGCACTTTAACAGAGCCTAATTAACATGTCTTTTCTCCATGAGGCACAATCATAGCCTTGTACTTAGGAACACTAGACAGCACTTGAGCACTGGGCTTGGGGCCATTTTAAATAGTGAAATCAGAAATCACTGACAAAAAATGCAGAGAATGTGGCTCTACATAGAATGCAAAAAAGATACTGATTGCAATACTGGAGCTCAGAGAAGGTCTGGTTCACACTGTGACCTCACTGGCAGCAGGCAGGTCAGGGTTTTTGCCATTCTGTGCAGATTACCTCAATGGTGCAGTGCAAGATAACCGTGGGGTTGCATGTACATTTCAGCAAGCAGGTGAATTCACAAATAGGGAATCCATGAATAAAGACAGAGTATATTTCCTTTCTCTGTTTCTCTACAGGCTGTTTAGCTTTTCCTCATTGATTTTATAAGCGGTTTACATATTAGGATTATACTCTTTTGCCTATCCTATTTTATAAGTATCTTCCTCAACTTTCTTTCCATTTTACTTATTGTCTGTTATTACAGTGGCTTTTTTCCTCCAGTGCAGGGGCTCTTGCCTGCTAGGCAAACTCTCTACCACTGAGCTACATCTCCACCCCTACAGTGGCTTTTTGATAACAGTATCAAAGTGCCTTTTGAAGTTTGAAGAGGGGACAACATTGAAAAAGGAATTTTATTAGATTTCTGTTACCGTATAAGTGGTTGGTATTTATTTCTAACTCCTTTTTACAGGCACACCAGATTTGGTATTCTGCTGATTTTCCTCCTGCATTTCCAAATTATAAAAATTCATGTAAGTCACATATTAAACTACTATTTTATATCTATTTTCAGTCTATTCTAATCATGATCATCATCTAATATTTTCATGCCTTCCAGTCAGAGACCATTGAAGGCCTTTTACACTTCTTTTTCCTCGTTCCTGTCACCCACCTTGTTAGTATGTCTCCTAACACCAAGAAATGTAGGATCCAGAAATGACAGGAGGAAGAAATCCCACAGAGGCATCAGCCACCCAATAGTGGCCGAAAAAGAGGCTATATTGTGTATGAGGAGGTGGTGGTGGCGGTGGCAGAGGTGTATTGAGAAGGTTTGGAACTATCGGTTAAAAGGTGTTTGGGAACGAACACAAGGCATGGTGGTCGGTGTATTCCTGTAACTGCAACACCTGGGAGACGAAGGCAGGAGGATTGCAGCAGGTCTGAGGCCGAGCTTGGGTTACCTAATATGACCAGCCCAAACTACACAGTGAGACCTTGTCTAAAAAAACAGGGTTTGGGATGGCAGTATACATTTCATTTATCCATACTACGGTAAGCTCTGCTTTCCACAAGCACTTACACATTGGATGTCTCTTCGTCCCTAGGTGTGAGATCTAAACAGCCAGCGTCAGAGGCCCTGGTGAACCACAGATGTGTGGGAAAAAACTTCCCAAAGCATGTAAGAATCTTTTCACCCGTCACCCGGCAGTGACCAGCAGTTGGCTTTCTGGTGTCTACTTGGCAGTGGGAATGGCGGCATGTGGATGTTTACACTGGTAGAGAAGCATTCCCTGATTTATCACCAGGTGGAAGGCACAGCTGTTCCCATCAGATGGGCATCAGGGGCAGTTTCTCTCACTGAGCTCTCTGGTTGTTTAGGAAACCCAGCCTTGGAGAGGCTCACCGGGATGGGACTTTCTGTGGTTCTGTCCAGTGATGCCAGTGGGGCCTTGGATTCTGCCTCATGTGATACAGGCAGTTAGTTTGAAGACTGTCCCCTGCTGGGGGCCATCCCAGGTGCTCCCTCCATGTGGCCCTCTGGACCAGAGGCTCCAACTCATCTGGTAACACTTTCTCAAAATCCAGTCATTTAACAGGATTTAAAATAAGCTTCTTTTTATGTCCTAGAGTTCCTCATAGAGAATAAGTTTAAAGAATAAAAACTGGTTTCTGTATGTAGCCTGCTGACTTCATGTACTATGAAAGTTACAGCTTTATATTTTGCTATCCTGTGACTTCTGCTTATTAAGATTGCTCTTTAAATTGACTTTAAAAAAATCAGACTCACCTTAAGTAATTGTATTTGCAACATCATGGGTTTGGTATGCTAGTTATGTATGTTAAAAAAAAAAAACCTGACCGTTAAAAAATATTCAAGTATCAGCTAACATTATCACAGAAACCACCAGTTAAATGCACATATTGCTTTAAAAATGCTGGTCTATGGCGCCAATGAGGGAATCCAATAAATTTAGCTAAGGGTACAGGATTGATGGCCCAGCTTGGGTCCCAGTTTAATGGTACCCTCCTAGAAAGGACCTGATCCCTTTCCTACAGAACACTTCAAGCACAGGAAGGCAGTGCCATGCCAGGACTTGATTTGGGAACATTTGAAACTGTCATCCACTGGAAGTTACACTGTGTGGGCCTCCCTTCAATGGGCTTGGTGATTGCTTTTAGGAAGGATAGATTGTTTCCTGAAAGTATATTTATTGCTAGCTGGACTCCTGGGAGTTGCGTGGGAGAATCATTAACTATTGTTAAATAAATCAATCCCTCTTGCTAGCTACCTGGAGTGTCCTGATGCCAGGCCATGGCCACTGTCCTGCCAGTCTGCACAGCTGTTCCAAAGAACAGTTCTCTTCCTCTGCAAGGTGCTGGTCCCTCCCCTAGGGTAAATCTTCTCTACTCACAGTAGCTTCTCTCAAGTCATCCACTCATCCCAAGTAAGGGATATTACATCCTACTCTTGTTGTGTGATGCAGTGACAGACTCAAAGTACACACACACCCCCCGAAGCAATATGGGGCATTCATCTGAGAAAACTTAGACTGCAAATAAATCATGACTTTTCTGAGACAAGGAAAATCTTAGTATTTTTAAAACAGGTGCTGTGTATCTTAGGGGAAAGAGAACAAAGCGTTAGTAACAAGTAGGGAACGAATAAAATGTTCAGCCATCAGCAATATTCTTCCTCTTTATATCAGCTTGGTGCCTTTGGTAACCATCCTGTAGATACTTACATCCCCGGGTCCTAACTTGAAGATGTTCATGATGTAAAAGTGGAAAGTAGAGAATTCACAACCAGGAATATCCGATTTAGAGAAATGGTGGAAAGGGCAGCAAGAGGAGGGGTTCTTAGCGCTAAAGGATGATTAAAAGGCTCCGGGAAGAGGGAGATTAGCGACCCCCGCCCTGTTTATTGATCTGATCTTCTGACAGAGGCACAACATAGTAATAGGAAGGTCAGAAAGGATGGACAGAAACGCCGAAACAATCCCAACTCCCGCTCAAGAATGCTGTCTGGTTTGAAAGGCAATTTAATTCCCAATTCTGCGGAGAAAGTGACCTTTGCGGATGAGCGGGTGTTGACAATCGGGCCATTTTTCCTCCAGTTTCAGGGACAATGGGATTCTATAAGTAAAGTCGGTTCATCCGAAGACTCAGAAGCCGATCAATATTCCGATTATGGTCGGGGAGGACTGTTATCGTTACTTTCCTGACTTGGAAAACGAAGCCACCGCCTGGAGGCCCAGAGTTTGCCTGATAAACGACTGTGAGGTAAGAGGCGGACCGTGGGCTGCGTCTGGACCTTGGCAGGCTGGGCACTGTGTGTGTGTGTGTGCGTGTGTGTACTGGAGGACAGGGACCAAAGTTAGCGTAATAATCATTAAAGTTTCTTTAAAGTTAAGTACTATGGTGCTGAGGTCCGGACCCCTGTGGGCTCCAGTCTCGAGCCGAGCCAGCCGCCCTTCGCCGGAGGGAGCCCGGGAAGGGCGCAGGGCGGCGAGAAAGGTTATTTTGTATTCACGCCCTCGCCCAGGAAAGCCGGAGCCTTCCGCGGCCAGGTTTTCCGGCGCGCAAGCCGCCGCCGCCAGGAGGCCAAGGGGCTCCGACTGCAGGAGGGCGGAGGCGACCGAGCCTGGGCCGCCCGCCCCTCCGCAGGCCACGGCCCGAGGCCTTCCCCCTCCCCTGTCCCCGCCCGCTGCCCCTGGCCCACGATCGGGCTCCGCCCTCCCGATCCTGCCCCACGGCGCCCTCCACAGCGCGATCCCCGCCCCACGGCGTCCCGCCCCCGCCCCCGGCTTCGGCCCCGCGGCGACCCCTCCAGCCTTCGCGCAGAGCCCCTGCCCCCGGCGCCCGCGCGCGTCCCCGCCGGGGCCGAGCGCGCTGCGAGGCGGAGCTGCGGGCGGGGCTGGCCGCGCGGATCCCGACGCGGGCAGGGTCTCGCCGCGGAGCCGGTCAGCCTGGGGCCCCGGGCGCTGCTGCCCCGGGGAGGGGCAGAGCCGAGCCTGGTTCACGGAGCAGCTTTCTCCTCCCGGTCCACTCTCCTCCGGAGCGCCGCCTGCTCCCACTGACTCCCACTTACCAAGATTGCAATTTATGATTTCTGTTGACGAGAACAGTAATTAAAAGTCGCACCGCCGCTCTCACTGTACCTTCCCCCGCCCCCTGATGATCACTTTTGTCCCTTAGCCGCAGGTTGAGCTAAAATACACTCCCCGGGAGCCATCTGGTCTGATTCCCAGGAACTCGGCATATGGTCTCCATTAAACTCGCCAGCACGGTGCATCGAGAATGCGGCCCTGGAGCGGCTCCGGCACCTCCAGGATTTTTGCCCTGGCCAGCTTGGTTCAGACTCCAGGCAAAAGGAGGTGAAGGCCGGGCTTAAATTCCGAGTTTAATACCTAAGGCTCCTGGTCTGAGGCTGTAATTACTATGTCTCAGGACTCCAAGGAAATACAGTTCTGCTTGGTGATGGTTATTCGTTCCTCCAGGAGCTGAGCTTGTTAGAATGCTGTTTTAATTCTAAAAATCAACATAAATTTACAGAAATATCCTGGCCACAGACATTCAACACACTCGGGAGAGTGAGTATGGCTGGATCTACCTATACCTTCTCCCGTGTCTGTCCCCCATGGAAAAATCAAACCCACATGAGTGTTAGCTTGTGGGAAATAGTTGTTCACACATGGGTTAGGGTTCCCAAGAAAAAGGGAACAGGCAGGTTTATGGAATTACAGAGCCAGAGACCTGGAAAGTGCCTTAGAATTTATCAAAGACAAGCCTGCCGTTTTATTGAGGAAACCCAGCCTCATGTAAGGAATGGGTGGCAGGAGATCTGGCCTTTCTGTCACACTGAATTCACTCGTTCTCTTTCCAGCCTATTGCCTGCATGTCCCTCTTTGTCCCCGCCCTGGGTCCTGACTTTTGGGGGGAGTTCTACCCCTTTCTTCCCTCCCCCTAACCTATGTTTCACTCCTTTCTTTTCCTTTGCTTTTCTTCCTATTCTCCTATCCCCGCCACAGCCCTGTGATTTTATTTGGGTTTTTAAAATGAAACCAGGTGCTGCGTAAAACAAAAGCAAAGTAATAACAAGGAAAAACGATCCAGCGCCCGAGGAATGTGCTGAGTTTTATGACTCAGGCTGTCCTGGCAGTGAGTGGCCTGACACTGAGAGGTGGATGGCACGGAGCACACACCATACATGGCAGCCCGGGCCTCCCGGCTGGGAGAGTGGAGGCAGTCCGTGACTCACTTCACAAAGCCAGAGGTCTTGTTCTTTTCGGAACGAGACTTCCCAGAGACCAGCGCCAAAGGCTCGTCAACTTTTCCCTGTGAGAGCCAGAGGCGTCTGGTGGAGCAGAGGCCAACCCTGAGGCTAGGAGGGGAAGAGACCAGGGCAAAAGGCCATCCAGGGAAAGGAGCAGGCTCCGTGGAATTGGGAAAGGGTTTTGGCGCATTTAGGAGATGAATAACATGTAAGCTGCAAAGTGATGGAAAATTAGCATGTATTGTAGTAGGGACAATGGTTTGGGAGTCCCGGGTCACGGGACTGCAGTGCCCGGAGGAGAGAGGTGCTTGTTCTTTGCAGCAATGCACACAGCAGAGGAAGAGCTTGTCTGATGCTGGTGGGGCTTCTGGGTGCCATTCCTGAGGCAGTCAGCGGGAGCACGGAAGAGCTAGAGCCCTGTACTTTGCATAAACACACAGAGAGACAGCCTCACATTCTGAGAATTTTTTTTCGAGTGAGCATAATAATGGGGCGAGGTGTGCTTTCCCTGTTACTAAGAGACAGGTTCCTAGTGGTAAGAAGCTGATTTCTCCCAGCAGGACTGGTGGCAGGAGCCTGAACCTGGGTGCCCAGGATCTGGCTGCTCCCTTCATGACACAGGCCTGGGAGGAAAAGACAGGACTGATGGTCCTGCTCAGAGTTGCCTGTCACTTTTTGAATGAGAATGAACCCGGTCTAGCACAAATGAGATCTCCATACACAGGAGGCTTGTGGAACCGGAGTTGCTTTTCCTTTTCTTTCTTACTGTTTTTCTTTTCCTTTCCATAGAATATATACCAAAAAGCAATGGTTATTATTCTGTACTTGCCAGAAAAGCTCTACTTAACTTTTTTATTAAAGATTTTTACCTGGCAAAGTGAAGTCTTTTAGGAATGATGACTTCATAAATATGTATAGCTTGGCATCACCTGGTTCTGCAGGAGAATGGGCTCATTCAGTTTTATGATGTGACACTCGGGTGAGTGACACCCATCATCTGGGTTGACCCTGCACTCTATTGCACTGAAGCTTGTTTATAGAGTGATTATGCCTGCAAATATTTGCTATATTTAGGCCCGCTGCTCTCCTAACACCCTCTTAAGTCCCCAAACCAGCAAAAAGTCAAGTTTATGATCTGGGGAAGATTTGATCCCGAGTGACTGGGGTGCAGGGCCTTGAACATGTGCTGTAGAAGTATGTGAGAAACTGGGAGACAATTAGAATGAGAACAGTGACTGTGATCCTAGCATTTGTTTATTTTATTTTAGTTTATTTTAGTTTCGTTTATTTTTTGGTACGGGGGCGGGGGGATCGAACTTGGGTCCTTGTGCTTGCACACCTGGCAGCAAGACCACTGAGCTAAATCCCCGGCCCATCGTTTATTAAGGTGGTTTTGTTGCGCATGCGTCTGCAGTCTGCAGGTGAGGGCCCTTTGGCTGGGCGAGAGGGATTTTGAAAGGTAGTGAGCAAAGCTGAGAGATGAGCATGAATAGGTGCTTAGGAGACGCTTTCCTTCCATGGAGCTCTCTGCCCAGTCCTTCAGTTGCTCTGGGGGAGGACCTGGTAGGGCTCTGTGACCTCAGCTGGGCCAAGGTCTCTGGTGTAACCTGAGGCTGTGCTCTCCCAGCCACACCTGGCCCCAGGCTGGGGCAGCAGCTGTCCTCCATCAGCTGTGGAGGAGGGTCTCCTCCCCGCCTGCTGGGTTTTAGCTGCACATGCCCTGACCTTGGCATTTCAGGCTAACGCAGGCCGACTTTGGGACTCGGTATTTGCCGACGATGGGCTTGGTTACCTATTGTTTATCCTAGGAAGGACCAGGTTTTGGCACGGTGGCATGAAATGTTGCCAGCATTTTATTTTTAGAGACAAGGAAATGTCTGCTTTTTGGCAGCTGCTTTTATGCACCAGGGATGGCATAAAAAAGTTCAAGTGAGAGATTCCAAGCCTTAAATTCATGGCATATGACATAAGCAATAGCACCATGAATTTCTCTACAGCAGCCTTTGTGGAGCCTGAGATCTTTCATTAGAAGGCCTGCTGGGCAGAGTGGTAGCCCTGCTACTATACCCTGACAGCAAACATCCTCTAGACCACAAACTTCATAGCCTAGACATCTCATGAGTTCCCTTTGAGAGTATCAGCTGATCTGAAATATTGATTGTACCTCAATTCACCTGCTTGTCTACAATCCATAACCTAGTCCAGCTTGACAGGGAGAGTAAGAAAGGCAGCCTACTAAATTTCATCTGTATCACCCTCCTCGGACCTACTGACATTGTTAGAAGGCAGTCAACTTCCATGGTAAGAAGTACAGAGCATACGGTTAGACTCAGGCATTGCATTTCCACGTTTTATTATAATTGATACTTTTCCTAATACTTTCCCTCTTAAATCATATTTTTGTTGGTTCTATCATTCTGGCTACTATCTGAAAGCATTTTGTAAACAATAATGACATATTATGCAAAGGTAAGATTAAACTGTGTTTTCCTACCTTTCTTTCTACTCAACTGTTGGAGAAAGAGTACTTTCTAGTTATAAAAATAAGGCACAAATACTACATTCTCTTTTCTGCTTATAGCCTATAATTGACTTTGGGGTTCATTTTTCTCGTTGCTGGTATACATCCTCTGATAGGTTTTTCTTACGTTCTTAACAATTTTCTCTATTCAAGAGCAATACATTTTCTTGGCAGCTTATGTGAGAATTCATTTTGAACTCTGTCTGAGTGTTGGTTTGGCTTGTTAGGAACTCTAAGTTTGACTTTATTCTTCCCGAGCCCTTCTAAGCTATTGTGAAGTTGTTTTCTTGAAACTGCTGAGGTTGATGAGCAGTCTCCTGTTGATCTGAATTTCATCATTTGTAGGGCATCTCTCTGAATCTTCTTGGGGTATTTTTGGTACCAGGGATCAAACTCAGGACCTTGCACCTGTGAGGCAGGGAGCGGCACCACTGAGTTAAATCCCCAGCCCCTCTCTGAATCTTATTTTACCTTGTAAGATTGCCT